GCCACACTTGTTATCAGAGGGGTCTCACTTAAAAAAAAAAAAAAATGTGGTTGCGTTGTAAGTTTAAAAAAAATGCAAAAAAAAAAACTAATTATTAAATTATTTAAAATATTTTGTTGAATTAATTATTGAATTCGTTCATGTTGGTGTATTTATTAACTAATTCTTAATGGTTATGGTTTATTCATTTTTAATAAATAATTTGTTATATATTTTTACTAAACTAATTTTTGTTTTAATTTATTTATAAACAGTCTTTGTTTTTATTTTGTATTGTACAAAACATTATAGTTTTTAAATATATTATGAATATGGTCACTCCAGATAGAAATAGAAATATTAGCAGAGTTAAACAGTTGTCGAGTATATTTACAAATTTGAGCTCGATAGATTTCTCAATATATGACAAATTGTTTTTATATTGCGATTCGACGACAACAGAGACAAATACAATAAATGACTGTGATGGTACAATTAAAATTTTAAATGATTTGTTAGAGATTGAAATAATTTGTGTAGATAGTAAAAGGGTTTTGTTTGGTAAGTAAGAATATTACTTAGTAATCATAATAAAACAGAATGCTAACCTTAATTGCATAGGATATATGGAGCTTTTACCTCAATTGATTAATCTTGGACAAATTAATGATGATTTAGTGATGGCCATAGAATTACAAAAATTAAACTCGAGGAAGACAATACATCCAGATACATCTGCTATGGCATTATTTTTTTTAGTTAAATCACATTTGTACATGCATAATAATTATACTAGTAATAGAATTAATCACTTGTGCACGAATGAATTACGGAGGTATATGAATGAGAACAATATATCATGGAGCGGTATAGAGGTGGATATGTATACTTTATGTAAACACTGCGAGTTTTGTTCAAATAACAAGATCACAATTTCCATACCTGATATAGTTGATGGCAATTGTATAAAGTGTCGCGATAATGTGCTAATCGATGGCATGGTAGATATTGATAATAAATTAAAATAGATATTTTTATTATCTATCAGTTTTATTAATTTAAATTCACAGTGTTCTTTTTATTGGTCTTAACTTTTTTTAACGATGAAGATACTGTGTTTTCTCTATATCTTTTTGTATTCTTATTATTATTATTATTGTCCTGTCGTGCGTCGATCGGTGCTGGGTTGGGGTTTTCATTATTAAACTTATGTTCTTCCATATTCTTATTATTATGGTTCTGTCGTGCGCCGATCGGTGCTCTGTTGTCATTATGAGGCTTATGTTCTTCCATATTCCGCAGGGTAGAATCGTTAAGATCGGTTAGACAATCTTCTAGACCTGGATTATCAATGGAGAACATATTGTTACAATTAAAAATATTTGGTTTAATGTAAGTATCGTATGAATTAAAATGAATGTTTTCGTTCATGTTAGGGTCGATATTTTCATTTAGGATTATAGGTTTTTTAGTGTTATAATAATAGTTGTTTGATGAATTTGCATTAGGATCAAAAAACAACGGTGTTGAGACTGGTAGGACGGGTATGAGGGTAGACTGTCTGTGTATCTTGATTATTGATGGCGAAGGTATATCATAGCAATCATGATCCTTAATAGTTGAGATTGGGGTTGGAGGGTGAGTATTATTAGTGTATGGTGGTGTCCTCGTGGCCATCTGCTGGTCGTATATTGTTTTGGCTGGAGTACATGGAAACAATTGTTGATGTTGGTTATTATCCTGTTCTTGAGTACATTCCTTTCCCGGTAGTTGGTTTTGATTACTATTTGAAACGGGAGCTGGTATTGACGTAAAATGTTGATGACTATGATTATTTTTATCGATTATTTGAGGGTTGGACGATAGCTTTTGAATATATTCTTTTATATATAGTTTGTCGTTGTACTTCATATACGATATTTTTAGTTTATTTAATGTGTTGATATAATAGTTCAAACTGCGACACTTGCGTGATGAATTGTCGAAAGACTCATCAATCATCGATATAATGTTATCAAATTGATGTTTTGAACAAGGTATATAGATATCATATTTAGTATCTGATTACATTATAAAAATCGTTAATATACAGTTCGAATTATAGTACGAAGAATACATACCATATAATAAATACATTGATTTATTAACTGAAAAATCAACGAGTCTAATTGTCAGTCTTTTAGCTATATCTATATCTTTCTTCTGTATCTGATATTTATTATTTTTATAATTTGCATTTATATTTCTATTTGTTTGTATTATATAATTATAATATAGAGATGCGTCTTGATAGTCAATGTAATGAAACTTATCTTTGTCCTTACTCGACATAGTTGGAATTGAAAATAATTATAGATCAAGAGCCTTGATCCTCTTAACAATTAAAGTAAAATAATTCTAAATAAAAAAAAAAACAAAAAAGAAAAAATATTTTTTATTTCGGTTATTAGATTTATATTTTCGGTGAATTTAATTTTTTTTTCTGTCAACACACCAAAAAACCAATATAAAAATTTCTGTTAATAGATTTATAATTTCGGTGAGTTTTATTTTCTTTTCTATCGATCTAATTAATCTATTGCTATTAACAATTGATTTTTAAAAATAAATAAATAAACAATATTTTATTACATAGCACCCAATATCTTTCATCATGAAGAAGCAAAAACAAAGAAAAACAAAAAAACTTAAAGAGAAGATTTTTACTTTTAACAATAAAAATATTACTACAACATATAATAAAGATACAGACAAGTATATTGTATCTACTGACGATATCCAGAGCGTATTAGAGTATTTTCACAATCACAAAACTAAAGACAGTATGGTTAAGAACTTATTTGTTTTATTTCTTCTAACATATACTAATGATAGGTATTATATAGGTTCTCCATGTGATAAAATAATGGCACAGAGAATTGTAGACAATAAACTATTCTTCAAAGGATACTATAAAATGTGTACCCAGTACATATTACAATGCAAGACATGTGCCTACCGTGATGATATGTTGAGTGCAGTTCATATAGAAACCACTGTGAATTTCGATGATATAGATTACGATAGTTTTAATGAAGTATTTACCACCCCAATCATAAAAGTTAAACCAACAACTAACAACAATCCGAGTACTGCAATTCATTCAACAAATTATCAGCATACTGGTCAATTGCCAACCATTAAATCTCAACAAAAACCACCACATATAAATTCACCAAACCAACAACTATGTATAAATGTTGACGAGACTCCAACATCATCTTCCAACATATTCATTGATGTACATACATATCATAGTAACTTTACGTTGCATTCACTCGATTCTATCCTACCAGGACATTATCTTAATGATGATGTTATCGCAACACATTTATCACTCTCGATTCACAAAATGTACTCAAATTGTAGAATCGGTTTAGTTAATCCACTGACTATACAACACATAATTAATGAAGATATCAAATTCGATTTAATTAACAATCATCTTTATTCATGTATCATTATACCAATCGTTAAGAGTACGCATTGGTCAGTTTTAATAGTATTTGTAGATATTAAAACTGTTATACATTACGATTCACTAAATATTCATCGATCTTCTGTTGACTGGAACAAACTTTCAAGTTTAATTGGTGTAGGTATGGATTCTATTCGTTTTGTTTCGCCTAATAGCCAAGAGTTTAAATGGATATGCCAAAATAATGCAACCGATTGTGGATTATTTGCATTATTTTTTGCCGAATACACCTTGTATTATCAATATGGACGTCAGACAAATACAATAACATATTTTAATAATAATAATAATTGGATTTTCAATTCTTTACCAATACAACTAAACAGTACAACAAGAATAATAGAGACAAATATCACAAATAATGATTTAAATACAGACTTTAATAAGTATATTTCAAACGAGTACCGATATCATGTTATGGATAATATTGTAAACCGTAATAATAATGAACATAGGTGGAGTTTATTTTATAAACAAAATTAATTAATTAATTAATCAATAAAAATTCTTTTGGTTTGCTAATTGCTAAGTAAAATTAATGCTAATAAACAACATATTAATTTAATTTATTTAATAACATCACTGAGCTGAATAGCTTAGATTTACATACTGCTGAACTATAAGTATTTGTTGTCAAGTTGAACCGTTTGAGCCCTTCGTCTATTATTTGATCAAAGATGTGATCAATTATATTATCTAGTTGCGAAACTATTTGCATATTATTTATAAGTATATAATATATTACGCAAAAATCAAAGATAAATTTAGTCACAGGAAATACTATTTCTAAAGTTACCTTTGTAACTATCAAAATAAAAATTATTAAAATAATTTCTTTATCTAAATCTGCCATTTTTTAATTACTAATCTAATTAATTAATCTTTATCAATTGATAAATTTATTTAATTTATTTATTAATTTATTTTAAATATTAAATATTTATTAATTTAAATTCAATTAGATTAATAGCAAACTAAATAAAATTGATGTCAATAAAATATTTGTGTGTAATTCAGTGGTACCATCTGATTTTTGTAGATCTACCGACTGTGTTTTAATGTAAACAGAAATTTCCTATTGCAACGACAAAAATAGAATATTAATTAAGTTAAAATATTTAATATAAAATAATTAAGTATTTATACAAACATTATATGAATATAAGCTGGATCTGGCGCAATTATTAGTAGGTTCATTTACCAATGTCGAAATTCGACAGTTCTTACAACTAGAATCGTAACATTCATATATCTGGAACGATGTTTCACTACAATTAATTAATGACCAGTGCTCGGAATCCACCTTATGGCATGTTTGATTTTGATGCACTTCAACAATATAGTTATCTGTACATGTTTTGGATATATACTTTCCATATATACAGCTTTGTTGACCTTGGGGTATAGGTAATGAGCCATCTTCAGGTAGTTGAAATATTTCAAAAAGTGTTGATTCATTGTCATCGGCTATGCACTTTCCAATTTCAAAATTAAATGTAGAGTTGGAACTTGGTAAACATTGGCTTGTATTTGAAGGATGGCTACAGGTCACCGACACATTATTTGATATTTCTAACAAAATATCTGGATTGCAGCTTGTCATAAAAATTTGTTTTTTGAGTAGAGAGCGAGAGCAATTCGTATCCTTGAATATAAGTTGCGTTAGACCATTTCTAAAATATTGTGTAGAGGTGATGGTCGAAATTGTAAAGCTAATAAATATAAAAAGAAATAAACTTATTTTAATTGTACTCATTTTTTATAAATAATAATGTTATTTATTATTTATTGCAAACTTTTTTGTCTTTGTCAATTATAGAATCATAGATTGAAGATGAAGGAAAGAAAGATGATATTTTTATTTTAATACTGTACTGGTGTAGATTTACAGCTATCATTGTTTGGTGGTGATGTAGTAAAATAATTTGTTTGATTTTATTTGTTTGCACTTACAATTTATTTGTTTTGTCAATCACAAAGTTTCGTTGGGGGTGTGGGTAAAGTTGTAACATATGACATACTTTGAACTGAGGGTGAAATGAGATAAATAAAGATTTTTGTGAATTTTTGATTTACAGATTTTTTACTTCGTGGTGATCAAACACTCCATATCTAATAATTATTATTTGATATTTCATAGATAACAAACAATAAACATTACATACAGTAACTAAAAAACTAACTTATCTATTATATTAATAAATTCATCAAGTATTAATAAGTAAAATGGGTGGCAATAAATTATTCAATTTAATCTATTTTAATTCAAACCATAATTTCGATAAGTATGTGTAAATAAATAAAAAATATATGGTGTTAAGGTATTAACTTAACAAAATAATTAAAATATTTTCAATTCAAAAAAAGGTACAAGGATGTTTTTTTGAAGCTCCAAAAACAAAAAACAAAAAGCATCCAAGACGAAATTGGCACTTTATTTGTCAAAAATAATTATTTGTGCAAAAAAAAAAGTGGTAGCCACGATTTTGAAAAAATTATACCCACAGATATTGATGAATGGAAGTCAATACTGATCAGTCTTCATACTTCGGATAATTCACACATGTGCACTAGTAAGATGTGTGAAAAGCTAAGTCTCCAGTATCACATTGAAAATCTTGAAAATGATGTGATACAAATAATTCAAGCATGTACCTCTTGTTCTCCAAATGAAAGTATTTACAATAATTCTGGTAATACTTCTGCCCTGGTTGCCACCTACTATGGAAACTCGAACACCTTTACATCATCAAGCCCAAGCATGTCAACAATAGCTAATAACATATCCACAATAGCTGCTGCAACTAAAAATAACAATAATAATTCTATGTTTTCATTATTACCAACAAGCAGTGGCAGTATTTCATCTTTGCTACCAAATTTAGATTTGAGCCAACCAATTGAACTTACAGAAGATAACGGTGTGTCAATTTTGGCAGTATCAAACAATAAGCAGCATGGCTTGATAAATCTAAATTTATCAAAACTTATTGTACAGTTCAAATCAAACCATAATGTTAAAGCTCTCAGCTCATATACATATGAGTATATATGTAACAATATAACATCATTTAATTATATGTACACATCATACATTAGCAATTGTAACTATATGCTAATACCATTGTGCTTTGCTAACTGTTGGTCATTGGTAGTAATAGTATTTTCAAAATGGACACCCTTGATGATTCTTCACCTTGACTCCAACCATAATAGTCCCCACTCATATATCTCATACACGGCAACGTATGGAGAAGATCCTAAATATATTAACTGGGATAAAATTAAACAATTTGTATTGATGATGTCATACGCCGAGTGTATGAAGCATACCTTTGGAACAACAAATTATTTTACTGATAATTTGGACGATGTTTCTAAAAGAATTCCAGTATATTCGATCGATATTGAAATCTCACGAACATATGGTACATCTTGTTATCATGTAATTAGAAATGCAGAGATATTTTTACGACAATGTATCAATCCGATCGCCACCGAATGTCACAGCATTGAAAATTTTAATATCTTTGTCTCAGATGATCACCCAACTCCAACTTTACCATGTTTACAAATTCTATCACAAGCTTACACAATATCAGTGCTTAGAAATCAAATCAATGAGACATATATCAACAAAATGAATCAAGATGCTGTAGAATCACTTCAAGCATTCCAAGCCCTTCTTATGTTTATACAAAATAGAGTGTTGCCACCCGGTATTGGGTACAACTTAAAAACTAATTTGTTCAACATTAACGATGGGTGCACTGGTATACCACAAAATCAACTAGCAGAGATAATAATATATGACAAGAAGCTTAAATGTCAATATTCATTTTATATTAATAATATTATTTATATATCTTCGAAAGTTCCAAGTGACCGTACCATACAAAAGTTCATAGTAAATGAAGATAGATTAAGTACTGACACTCGCTCTGAATCCGATCCATTCGTACTGTTATATTTAACTCCTGCTGGATTTAATATTTATACATCATGTACATCGTTTGTGGTAAATAGATATGACAAATATGGAGATAGTATCGCCGATAAATATCAAACAACATTGAAGCCATTCGAAATTATAACTATTCCATCTACAGAGTTTAGTCATTATCACTGTATTGAGAATGAATACATGATAATTACATATATAGTCAACATCAAAACATTTAAACAATATAAAGATTCCTCCTCGACCATAGACACACCTTCACCAGCTTCAATAATAGCAAATATGAATAATAATAATATTAATGGTACAAAACCTGATAAAGAGTATTTATTTACGTCCCTTAATAATATACCAGCAAAAAAAGAAATAGTGGAAGTCTCTAACACGAGAAATGATATTATATTCAATATGGTCAATGTAAACAATATTAAAAACAATAACATCAGTACCAATAATGATAATAATAATATTACAATCATTTCTTTTCCTAAATCAGGTGGACCAGATCAAATAGGATGTTCATTATACAGACTATCTAGTAAACAATCAATATACATATATCGTAACATTTTGGCCAATTACGAAAGACAAGGTGTCATATCAAAAGATGAATATGATGACCTTAAAAATTATAATTACCATATGTTTCATATACCTAAAAAAGATGATGGTGATGACCGCAATATTAAAAGGCAAAGAAAAGATGATGGTCCTGATCCACCTAAATACTCCAATCTGAATATTGGCGGATTTAATCCTTTCAATGGTGGAGCTGGAGGTAATAAATTCAATGGTGGAGCTGGAGGTGGTGGAGCCAATTCTTTCAATGGTGGAGCTAGAGGTGGAGCCAATCCTTTCAATAGTGGAGCTGGAGGTGGAGGAGCCAATATATTCAATAGTGGAGCTGGAGGTAATCCTTTCAATGGCGGAGCCGAAACGAACAGGGTTCAAAATACCAACATTTCAAATATTTCTATGAATAATGGCAATGGTTGTGATGGAGGTGGAGGCAATCCTTTCAATAGTGGTAGTTACTTAAATGTAAACGATTGTCGTGATCCTCACAATGAACATCGAGGTAACAGTGGTAATGGTAAATTACCGATCAACAGTGGAAGCTACCCTTTTAGTAATACAAGTGAACATAAGGCATCTACTGTTAATATTAAAAATGAACACCACAACGGTAATGATAAAGTAGCCAGTAATATCAGTTTTAATGGAAGTACAACCAAAACTAAATCTACTCTAATAGATGCTCCACAAACAACTACAACAACATCGTTTTTTACACCTCAATTTCGTGTTCCAACTTTCAAATCTTCAAATTTTACCAATAATATAGCAAACAATCATAATAATAACAATAACAACAATAATAATAACACTATTTCGGCGAATGCATTATTTGATGACGACCAGGACCAAGGATCTTCTCAAGAGAAAGAAGAACAGGAACAAGGAACAACTAATATCCAACAGAAAACGAAAAACTTTTTTACCAATATATTACACGCTGCTAACCCTCTCGGCGCTCACGTACATGCTGATAGCCCGAAACAAAAGGAACAACAGTATGGTATTGACCAGTGTTTGTATTATCCTATTATTATCCTAAATAATTAATATATTCTGACTAATTGTATTTCTATTTTATTATATGAATTAATAGCAAAATTAGAACGAGATACAGAAAACAAGGAGAAAGCAGAAACCGAAAAACGCAAACTTGAAAGCGATTTATATGCAACACATTCTGGTACATAAATAAATAATATTAATAAAATTTAAAATTAATATATTAATCATCTTGTTTTTTATTCTATTTCTATTTTTTATAATAATATATGTTTAGCATTACAGATATCTGATTCTAATTACAAAATACTACAGCAATCACATGATAGAGTTAAAAACCAACTATCGCAAACGGAGACAGCTTTTGAACAATATAAGATACATTGTGAACAAGAAATTGCCAATTACCGTCACCAATTAGATAATGCAAACGCTGATGTTCATTCATTGTCAGAGAGATGTAAAGAATATCAAAAAGTTAATTCGGAATTAAACAAAATTCATCACAATTTTATTTCAAACCTTAAAAGTGAGACGGCACAAACCAAAGAGTATCGAGATGAATTATTGTCAACAGTGGAAAATCAGTCAATTAAACTCAATGAGCTTGCTAATGAAAGACAGAAATTGATATCGATCGCCGAAACTAATCATAAGAGTATTTTACAGAAGCAAGCAGAACATTTTAATACTTTATTGTTGGATAGAGATTGGCAGATTCAATCAATTAAGGAGAAACACAAACAGGCAATAGATAATATTAAAAAAGAATATAGTACAGCACTCAACGATCATTTAGTGAAAAATAAGCAATACATCGAAATTATTAGTAAACAGCACAGCACCCACATGGCAATTAAGAATGAAGAGTGTATTAATTTAGTTAGTAAATTAGAAGAGAATATGAAGGAGTTCGCCATGTTGACCCAAAATAATAAAGAGCTTACAGATCGCTACAATGAAAAGCTGGATATTATAACTAATTTAAATGCGCAGTATTCTAAATTAGTAAGTGAAGTCAAAGAAGTCAATGCAAATCTCAGTATATACAATTTACAATCAAATCAACTCCGTATAAATATCCAAACCACATTGGATGAAATTAATTCCATTATTGAAATTATTCAATTTTATACACACGCTCAAAATAACAATAATAACAATATGCTCGATGTTGAACCTATTGATATTATAATGGATATTGGTAATCGCTGTCAAAATTTGGAAAAAAGAATCAAATATGAATTAGATGTCAACACAACAGAACAAGAAGCGCAATATGTTAAAGAGTATTTCAACAACATACAGCCATATAAAGATGAAATACGAGCATTTGAACAAAAACTTCAATACGCGAAAAGAATAGAAGGAAAAGCGCTAGCTTTGAATGAAATAGAAGACATAAAACATCAGTTGGTTTTATCAAAAGAAAAGCTCTATAATGTTGTAAAAGATGAAACAAAATTGATATGTGCACCAATAATGTTAAAAGTTGAAAATACTTTCCAACACCATCCTGACTTTTCGCCAATTGTAGCCAACTATATAATTGCACTACAAAAGTCATTTGATAACTACTCAAATTCACTCGCAAACTACATCTGCTATGTCAACGATATATCATCTACAAATACTATAAATAGAGCCGTAAAGCGTGGTATGGAATTAGCCAAAATCGATGTTGTGAGTGCTGTAGAGAAACATCAATTAGAATCCTTGAACAACAAAGAAATATACACTATATATAGATCCGCAAATAATGTCAATTCAGCTGTAAAATCACGTCGTTTGAATAATGGTCTTGTGCAACATACAATACAAATAATCGATACTTTTGATCCTTCTAAGTTACCCTTACCTTTCCAATCACCATTGACCGAAAATGATTATTTTAATATCCAAAAGTATCTTCAGCAGCATTTTAATTCAGAACAACCATCATATATCAAAGATGATATTAATAGAGTTACCGAAATAGAGGAATCCAATATTATATCTCAACAATTACAAAAACCCCAACCCCAACCATATCGAGATCACATTGCGAAAATCCAAGATTATAATTCTATTCCCCAACTAGTAGCTACTGGAACACATGAAACCGAACAAGTAATTCAAGGAGCTCGGAGTGCTGAGGAGGATGAGAGATTAAATAGTAGTGATGAAGAAAACGAAGAGATGAAAAATATTGAAGAGGAAGAAGAAGACGAAAAATCAACTGGCAGTACGAGTGTAGACACGGATGAGGAAGAGGATAGCCAAAGTACAGGTAGTGGCGATGGATCAGATTAAACTTTTTAATTTGGTGATTTACATAGAGTAAATCTCTTTATTTTTGCTTTTTATTGTTGGCTAATCCAGTTGTAGGGGTTCTTCTTTTGTTAACAAGTAATTCCTCCTCTCCGTCGCTTACAGTAATTATTGTACATTCCTTATTACGCTGGTTGACAACTTCAAAATGTTTGTTCATTCTTTGAGCAGCGAGAGTGGAAGCCAATTTATTTAATGCATTTTTATCTGGAGAAATCAATAAAAGTAACTTAAAGAGATATAATTTAGTCATACATTAAAATATAAAATATTTATCATTAACTTACCTTTCTTCTTATTTTGGAAACACAACTTATGCATTCATAACAAAGATCGCCGGTAAATAGTACATACTCCTTTTCAATTTCACGTATCGCGGTCGGAAAATCAGTGTTGCGGAGAAGATTAGTTATTACCATATTGTTGATCTTGTATTGGTTATTTTGATCTTGATTATTCGCTACTATCTTATTGATGTTATCCTGTAACAATGAATTATTCTTATTGCTAGATATTAATGCATTATTAAGTTTGTCGTTATTTTCTTTTAGTTGATTTATTATTATGTCCTTATCTTCCATTTGCTTCTTTGCATTTTTGAGTTCTTCTTTAAGTTGACTTGCTTCTGATTCTGACATGATGTTTTCTGCAACTTGAAGATTATTATCCTTAACCAATTCATTTTGGACATGATCAACCTTTTCTATCTTTCTTCTCCTTATACATTCTTCATCTTCACATTTGCGCATAACACTGTTAATAAGAGTGTACAAATTTGGACATGAACACTCTTTTTTTAATTTTGTAAACAGTAGAGAAGTTGTTGTGTGATGGCCATTAATTAAAACTTCATGCATTTGTTTAATAGTCTCGAGTGCCTGATCTTGTGAATGAAAATGATGAATTCCATGTTGATCTATTAGTTTGTTATCTTCTAGATTTACTCGAAGATTCACTAATTTTTGAATTAATTGTAAACTTAGTGATTTTGGCTTAAGTGTTGTGGTGATTGTCTTATCTTTGATTGCTTGTTTGATATATTTAAATATTTCAATGATTTTATTTTCTTTTACATATGTATTTAATACTTTATTACTGTGAATAATGTACAATAAATTTGCTTTTTCAAATTTTAAAGGTTTTGTTGCTGACATTGTTATAGAATGATAAATGGTGATCTGTTTTGTAAAAATGAAAAAATCCATTTTTAAAAATGAAAAAATCCATTTTTAAAAATGGAATTAATCAAAAAAAAAAATTGAAAAAATCCATTTTTAAAAATGGAATTACAGCCCGAATGAATTTTTGGGCTTGTGAGTAAATAAAAATTAAGTTAAAAATAAAAATTTATTATGTAATATCTAGTTATTATATATTTGTCACCAATTTTTTTTAAACATTGTTTTTAGCTGGCGACTTTTCGATATCAGTCAACTTTGCTTTAACTACATCTGTTTAAGTTGCAACCAATTGATATTGGTCATAATTATAATAAATTAGTAACAAATATTTTCTAATAGAAATGAAAAATTTTGTATTCATACCTAACTCACAAACTACAGTACTTGTCTATTATGTCTGATTTTCTATATGTAAATGATTGTGGATGATAAATTATATTATCCGACATCTGTTTCCGTTTGGATTGACTCCATTTCTTCTTGTAGGTGTCGTATACAAATGTGCTATCTTTGACGAAAAGTATTATTCTGGAGTTTTCATTGTCACACACCATTGGGGTTGAGGGTAATTTGTGTAAGTGTTCCTTTTGGCTATCATTGAAAGTTGGATATGAAAGCATGGTAAATAATTTCGTTGATCTGTTCTTTGATTTATTGGAATGATCTAAATCACACACAAAGAAATTGTTGTTGGTACATATATATAAATATCCATTATTGAAGTCATAACAATAAGTTATCCACGCTGTAATACTATCTTGAAGTGTCGGTGATGATGCCAAGATATGACTCGCTATTACCATATTACTTATTGGACATACTTCAAATATTTTTAATTGCGTCTTTGAATGACTACGCAAAAAAATATAGAGTGTTCCACGTGGTGAGAATGCACACCCAAAGATAATAAATCCATTTTCTTGTTCCACCTCACCAGAGCATTCAAATGATTGAGTGAATGTGTTGAAACGACTTAGCTGAAAATAATTGGGTTTTGATGAGAATGTTATCAGGTAAATGTTGCTGTGGCGGTCGAAAGTACAATGAATAGAATGGTTGCTGAATGCAGGTGGTTTGAAGTTTATACGAAAACTGTTTCGATATATATCTAAACATTTTCCACCTCCTCTATCGTTGTCACTGATCACAGGGAAAATGATTTTTTTCTTTGCTAAAGAATAGGCAAGATAGCAAGGGCTATTCAAAGACAAACAGTGATAAAAAATATAGAGTGTTGTTGGTGTTAAGCAATACTGAGTTGAATGTTTAAGGGCTGTTTCAAGTAGTTTGGAACAGCACTGAAGATTGTCAATGTATTCATTACCATTGAAATGGATCAGAGATGGAGATACTCTAAGTGTGTCAGTAGAGGTGAAAACTAACATTGAGGAACTGTCATAGCGTTCAACCTCAGCTTCCTCTTCTTCCATTTCTTCGTCCTCCTCCTCTTCTTCTTCTTCTTCATCCTCCTCATCGTCACTGTCGCTTTCGCTTTCATTTTGCTTTCCGAATGAATTCAAAAGAACACTCTTATTATCAATAATTGTATCGATGGAAGCTGCATGTTGGATATACGAAAGTGCGGAAAATAATTTTGCTTCATCTATTCTAAAAATGTCTGTTCTGTTGTCGTTGTCATCCAAATAATCGTCTTTGTGTACGTTTCGAGCATATTCGTTAAAGTATTTCTCTAACAAATCTTCTACTGCTTCACTATTAACATAATATATTGTGTTACTATTTGTATGTATAAAATCATGTAAATAGTTAGAGTTGACTGCTGTATGAGTTATTGTCTTGATTGAGTAATTGTCGGTGTCGTCTGATTTAATATTTTGATCGTTATTATATTCATTATATGTTGATGATGGTGGACGATGTAAATATAATATTATATTAAATAATAGTTGACTTTCTTTGATATTTAGTTCGATATGTTGCTGCAATGATTGCATTTCTTTTATGATTGGTGAACATAAATTAGCTTCGAGATGTTGAAGTATCTTATGTAATTCGTGATAATGCAATTGAGCATTATCAATAAGTTTCTGTAGCTCAGTGTAACGTATAGATTGGCTTCTGATCGATTTCCACAACTTATCTAATCTTTCACATAGCTGATTATTATTTTTTTTTTTGTTGTCTCTACTCCTTTTATTACTATTAATACTATTATTGATTGCTTCTTTTATTATTGTGGCGTTATCCAGATATTCTGTTTCTTCAGTGTGATGTGTGTTATCCTCAAAGCTAACTGTTTTGTGCTCCATATGATGATGGTAGGCACAACTGTAACATATAAGCTTTAGACAATCAAAGCATATCACTGCGAATGCTTGATTTTTATTACAATGACATTTCTTCGTCATATTTAGATTTAATTACTTGTTGTGACAATGATTAAAAAACCAAAGACTCATAGGCTTATAGGTGCTTTGTTCAAAATATTAAAAATAAAGACAACACAAAAAACTAATATAAATTCACCGAAAATAATTTAAAATTTACAGAAAATAATGAAAAATTCACCGAAAATAAATTAAAATTTACTGAAATTATTAAAAAAAATAATAAAAAATTGTGGGGTATAAAGCCTAAAAGCCACCAAATATTTTAAAACTTTAAATTGGCCAAAAAAATAAACAAAAAAGAAAAGATTCAGTGGCGCCCAACCAACAATAATGTGTGATAACAAAAAAAACACTTTATTAATTTTTTAATTCTTCAAACTCTGGCAACACTTCTGGCACTAGAAGATATGAGTTTTTGTAGTCCCACAAAAGTACTGGCGGTTTGGATGACCTTAACATTGTGTTATAGATATACATAAAAGTTTTGCTTGGTACAAATGGTAAATACTGCTCGTTTTTATACATTACATATTTGTCCGATATTTGATTGGTATTGTTACTGATTTTAGGTTGCTCACATGTTTCGTTAAACTGTTCACTTTTAATTAAACATACAAGTTTTTCATATAGAGGTGGAATGGCAACATAACTATTAATATTTGCACCTGGAATAAAAACCAATTTATGACTTTCACCGAAATCGGATGTATCCATGCCTCTTATATCTTCCACAGACTTTGCACCCCACCAAAGTTGTAGATAATTAGTTTGGACTCTCGAAGTGCAATTTACAGCATTAGCGAAACTATATATGTGTGTATACTCTACTTGGCTTTTCGATTTATCAAATTCATGGTACTCGGCCATAGGCGTTCTAGTGGTGGCATATTTACAAGTATTATTGTTAGGTGGCTCTGTTATTCTGGCTGTAGGTTTTATTATTTTTTTGGCTGTAGTAGTTGTTTGTAATTTCGTTCCTATCGATTTATGTGTAGATCCGACGGTTTTGATATCAACTATGTAGTCACCAGGTAAGAAATAATTGTTATTTTGTATTTCTAGATTCGCCTCACACTCAACTACGAAGGTATGTGGTGTGTAAATTGACTCTATAGTACGGTTTTTATGTTGATCACTATTTATTCTAACTTTCATTGCCTCTTGATAACCACTAGAAGATATGTGGAATTCGACATTGGAATTTTGTGATAATTTTTCACATCCAGAGATTTTGTATTGGAGAGATTGACCAGATGAACATGATTTCTCGCTATGGCGGCCTTGGTTGATCCATCGTCCATTAGTATCTTTAAACATCAGTCTAAGGGTATTGCTTTCATTGATTTCAGTCGATGCAACAGATGAGGATGTTTCTACCTCGAAAGAGTTATGTTCATTAACGGAACCATTGTTTTCTTCATCTCTATTGTCAGCATCTCGAATGTCGACAATATAATCTCCCGAAAAAAAATAATTGTTGGAAATTATTTCTAATTCGATTGGAGTGCTATTGCATATTATGTAGTCATTATAAGGAGTATATTGACTCACGGTGTAATTTACATTTCCATTTCGAACATTCACTTTCATGGCATCTTGTAACCCAGCAGAGCTAATAGCGATTAAAATATGTTCTTTTTCACATCCAGAGATTTTGTATTGGAGAGATTGACCAGATGCACACGATTTCTCACTATGGTGGTCTTGGTTGATCCATCGTCCATTGGTATCTTTAAACAAAAGCTTAAGGTTATTTTCTTGTGACTTGGTCATTATGACATTTGTCGAAAGAAGAATAAGTAATGATAGTATAAAGATATTCATTTGTTTGTTTTATAACAGCATTTAGATATTAAATAAAATAGGAGAATTAATAATATTTACAAAAACAAAATATTGTTATTATTTATATAGTAATTATTGGTTTATTTGGAAATTGTGATAAATGACAAATATCTATGTACATACAATTCAGATCATCATGTATCTAAAAATAAATTTTTGATCAATAAATAATCAACTTACTTTCACTACATTTACATTTTTCTTTCTTTGTAACATACATATTATCGGATATATTTTATTTAACACCACACACATTTATTGAAAATCGACAGACAATGACAACAAGATAAGATGTCAAAGATATATATACACACTAACCACACTTTTGATGAACTTTCATATAATCATTTTGTAGTTTAATTTTTTTTATTTGGTATGATAACATTTTAGTGCAGTGAGAATAGATTTTAATTTAATTTTCACAACCAAAACATCACATATTATCTATTTTATATATAAAACTATTTTTCCAAACAAAATATTAATACTAATGAACATTTATATCGGTTTAATTATTATATATTTTACTATTTATTTTGGACATATCGATGCTAATAAACAAAAGCATCATGATCAAGATGACACATATCACGATCATATTTACTTTCTTCAAAAAGAAACAAATGATGGTCCTTTATATGCCAATAATTATCAACAATCATTTAGATATGAATTTCCCAAAATTCCCATCATTCCAAAAATATCTTTAGACACATCCGACTATAACCAGCTTTTTAATATACCACATATTTCTCATGTTTCATCTCACAAGCTGTTTATTAGCTTTTCAAACGAATTTAACAAAACAATCATGATTAGTAATGGTATATCTAATGTCACTTTCTATAATTCATCATTTAAAGATGATATAATCGATATATCCACACAATGTAAAGCATTTAGTTATTTTTCATATGTTATTGTTGATCTTGATTGTAAAAACAGACATAGTTGTATCAGTAGATCATTGCTCAGCAAATGCGATGTCTACTTTGAGGATATTAGATCAAATTCATATTTCGATAGTAAATATTTGCATTGTTCTAATAATATCCTATCGAGCGAGTGCACAGAAAGAATAAATTGGCTCGATAAATTAATATATATAAATATAATACTAGGAACAATTATAATCATATATAAATTTGTTAAATTAGTTTCCAAACTAATATACTCGTTATTATACATACTATGTACAAATATATTTTCAAAATTACGGTCACATTCTTCACATAAATCGAAAAGTCACAAAAAAACAAAACCAAAGATTACAAGCACAAGCTCTACGACAAAACCAATTCAGAATCACTCTCATGCAACACCAACTCCAAATGGTCAATATGTTCAAGGTTTTCAAGGTCAGACTCAAAATCAAGGTCAGGGTTCTCAAGTTTTTCCAGGTCAAAATCAATTTCATAGTTCTCAGTACAATAACGATTATCTTTCATTTAACAAAAATAATATATCACCTCCTCCAATGGCCAACAATCATAGATATATTTATACTCCATCCTCATATTCACCATATACTACTTCTATATATATTCTATGTGTGTGCATGATATCAGGCGTTACAAGCTGCGACAGTTTCTTACCGATGGGCTCTGGTATGATGACAACCATGTATGAACTTTCTCAAGGAGTTGTTAATACATCTTTCACTGGTTACCAATCGATATTTATGCCGTCCGAGATGCACAAAGTATGTATGCCTGTATCCGATGACTATGGTTTACTTGGTACAATTGAAATAGAAATTAAGAACTATCGTATACAAACTCAAAGTGAATTGAGCTATTATACTTCAAATTGGACTGGTGTATCATTTTGCAGAGAACGTATGCATAGGGCAGAAGGATCGCAATGTGGAACTGGAGAGAGATACAGTTGTAGCAATATTGTTCCCACTGATGGTGATATGAACAATGAAATAGAAAAAACCATACACAAAGATGTACTGGAAGCAATTGGCGAGAGCTATTGCTACTCCGCCGGAAGATGTGGCAATTTATTGAAATGTGGTACTTATGGCTATGATAATTCATTTTGCTACTACGGTCGTGCTGGTATAGTCCCTATTGGGGATATTGCTACAGTTAAAAAGGTTATCAATACACGTCTGGAATATGATATAGATATTAATTTTAGAACAAAAGACAGTACGACTAGACTTAAAGTAGAGCGCGATAATCCTAAAGCAGATATAAATATCAGAATTTCTGAAACAGGTGATATAAGTAATACGGCAAATATTGTTGGTCAACATTTTGTACTATATATGGGTCACACATATTTGGCAAGAGCAGCAGAAAACAAAATGCCACAAAGTAATGCAATTGGTGATATTCAAGCTGAAGAAAAGGAACATTTATTAAACAGAGTCCAAAACAAGATTTCTTTACCTGGATTTTCGTTATGGAGCATTAGTAAGGTGGAAGGAGGAGGACATGCCAACTTCGTTAGTCAAGGTATAAATAGTATTGGTCAATTTCCAAAAGATGTCGTGACGGTTGGAAATCATATTTGGACAGCATCAAACGAGGAATGGACAACAACACCGACACTACACAATCCTATGAACATTGTACTAGAGTTCACCAAAAACATTTCTTTTGCACGCACCGTGTCTATGGTCTGTCCTGTTGTAATAAGTAGTTATAGTTCTGCTGATGGATGTCGATCTTGTTCGCGTGGATCTTCTGTAGTGATAAATGCGATGTCAAATTGTAGCTCTGGATATGTAAAGGTTATCAATACAAATGGCAAAGTCAACTTCGCTGATAAAACAATAATTTTAGATACACACCCACGAAACTATACTTTAGTTTATCATACAGATTTAGAACTAGTGGAGGATAATATATGTCTTCAAATAGTAACAGTAACAAGTAATAGAACAAGTTGTTTTAAACTATTTCAGAAGCTAAAGACCGATATTTCAGTTCTTGAATGGCGTATAGATTTCAAAAAAAACATTGAAAAGTCAGACAACGATACACCTGGATCGGCTCCTCCTCTCGGTGTCCCTGGAGATTCAAATTCGATTGGCTCTTTAATAGGAAATTTTGTCAGAAAATTACTTGCCAGCTATTTTTCATTTTTGTTTGATATTTGGTATAGTATATTTGGACCAATCATTGCAAAGCTAAAATGGGTATTGCTCGTAATAATCATAATAGTAGTTATTGTTGCGATAATATATATTTATATATATGGTGCATCAATATTTAAATTTATAAAATTAATATTACCTACCAAGAAGGTAAATAGGAATATTGCCTCACAGTCATCGCCTCAATTCAAAGATAAAATAAAATAATATAAAATATATAAGAATTAATTTATTGCACAATTCTACCCAAAGACAGACTGGTTGCCATTGGTTTGTCAAGCTCTTCATATATCAAGATTGGAATCTCCTATTGCATTATACCCACTAAAACCACCAGCGGAAGAAGAATCTGACGACGATGATATTATAGATGATATCGATGATTTAAATTTGGAAGAAGAATCTGACGATGAATAAAAATTAAATTTATATCCTAATTTGTATATTTTTTAATTTTTTTAAGATCTGGTTTATTATTTTTCAAAAATATCATAGGTTTCACATTTAATATTTCATTCATTATTATTTTAATTCAAGAAATAAAAAGAAATAAACTTATAAAATGTCAAGTAGAGATTATCAAAGTTGCACAAAAACAACCACAACAAGAGAGAATAAAGATGGTTCAACAACAACAACAACTACTACTAAGCCATGTGACAGAGATGACTGTCCTACTAAAAAGGAGGGTAACAATACTCATTATTAATCGGAACATTCTCTGTGTGTAAAAATTAAATAAACTGTAATGTGGTGAACTTCAAGTTCTCAAATTTTTCACACCCAATAAATTAATTTTTTAATTTTTTTTAATTTTTTTTTAAAATGAAAACCCTGTCGAGTGGTCTTTTTTTGATCTACACTTACATTATTTTTATTATTATTTCTCTATATATAAAACATTATAAATGCGAACAGATACAGATAGAGTTTGTTATGATTACACAACTAAAGACCTAAGAAAGAAGGCAGCGAAACATCTAGATCATGTCGTAGAGTTACAGATTATAGCATATGCTCTCAATAGCTTACCTTGTGGTACATATGATGAATTACAGCTCAAATCTATAATAGACTTTTTCAATGACTACAGATATAATATTCAGCTGGTCGATGCCGATTATAACACTCGAAAAGGAGCAGCTGTTACTAAATTGCTTTACAGACAAGAAAAGCTCACCGACGACCTTTTTTATGAATATATTACACCCATAAAGGATTGGTTCACTAACTTGCAACGATCCCATGGACACTTAATTTTTATAGAATTAAGGACAGAGATTACAAAAATACTCGAAAGCTATAAACCAGAACCAACACCACCACCACCACCACCACCACGAAGATTCACCAATATCGATACCGAAAGTATTTCCACTATTTCAGCATCAGCATCAGCATCACAACTAAAATCACAACCAAAATCAAAATCAAAAAAAAACACAAAAGGCGGTTAGAAATAAAAACCATTATGTATAACTATACTACTTTATTTATTTGTGGGTCTCTTATATAAGAGAGTGGATGAATTCATTTTTTATTATTATAACAAAATGGATACAAATACAGATACAGATACATCATTATTAGATGGGGAGTTTAGTTGTTTAAGTCAATTGGAAATTTTTATAGATTACAGTGACACGTACATTGAAAGAATGAAGATACTTCGTCTTAATGTAAAAGATTTATTAAAATTTTTAGAAAAGGAAATTCAAAAATCACCGGAACCGACAGTAGTAGTGGAAGATAATACTGAAAGAATCCCTATATATAAACCATCAATGAGATGGAGACTACAAAGAATAGAATATTTTATAGAAGAATACAACGAAAATTACTCTGAACAATTGAAGTCAACTCATGATCAGCTAAAATATTTATTAAAAGATATACAAAAGATAATATCAGAAAAATAAAATATTATTATTATTATTGAATTATTTTATTTTTAATTTAATTTAATTTTAATTTTATAAAAGAGATACGATCTAATCAATTACAAAGACGAATTATGTAGACAACTAAAACAAAAACTCTTTAGTTTACTAGAGAGTGTATTGCAATTGACAAAAAATATACCTAATAAAATAATATTAAAATATTAAAGTTTATTCTTGAATGTTTATATACATTTATTAAATTATATTTTATTTTATTTTTCCATAAGTGAAAAACCTGATTTATCGTAGGTGACGTAATAGCGTTTATCTAATTTGTTAGCATCGGCCCACTTATTGATATAAGAACTGATTTTATATGCTTGAATACCAAGCGAAACAGCCTTTGCAATGTTTTCAATTAAATTATCACCTTCTGGTACGCTATTATCAATCGAGAAAAAAGCTGTACCATTATCTCTTCTGACAAGATCGTCCATCAATGCATAAGCTATTAATTGATAGCTATTAGTAAAATCATCTTTTGCACTTGAATCTTGAGCTTCGTTTTCTTTTACTTTTATTTGATCTTTTCTAGTATTAAATAATTTTGATATCTTGTTACATAATTAATAATTAATTTAGATTCTTTTTTTAATGGTAATTAATAGTTACCTCGCCTGTATTTGATTGCATTTGTATTTGTATTTGTTTGAAAATTAATAGTGTAGAATCACCACTCGACAGGGTTTTTATTCTTTCACTTTTTAAAAAATAAATTAAAAAATTAATTTAAATTGGTGCGAAAAAAGTGAGATAACTGTTCACTTTCTCATTGTTAGTCGGAATGATGACTAAATTTATTTTTAATTTGAATTTTTGTTTTATTGTTGTGGATTAACATTTGTTCAACATAACTATAAATATGATAATGCTTATGTTGATAGGTGGAAAATCTCTTATCATATATGTGTGGATAAATACTTCGTCTGGCATCTCTGGTTGTTATTGTATTATCATATAGAGTTGATAACTGGTAAAATATGTTTGAATATTTTGTAATTGTAATAGCTCTAATAAAATTTGCCATCTATATTTTATTGAAAATAAGATAAATCTGTCTACTCTATACTCTATTTGATACGAATTGACATTACTTTATAAACATTTATTCCCATCACTATTTTAATTGTTTTAATTAAAAATTAAAAAAAAAGATAATTGACAAGTGTCAATCAAAATATCGGAAAATTAGAAATACATCATTATTTTTTCAGTAAGATGATGTATACTTTTTATTTAATCCTTACTGATCTAGTACTAGTATGAATCTTTGAGTATGTAATTAATATATCATCACCTTCAAATCAAATATATTCTCTGTAGAACAAATATTAAATCCTTTAATAAAATTTAAATTATGTTTATTTAAAATATACAATTTCGCTATAAGGCTTAATGTCTTCTTTTGAAACAATATACATTACACCTTTATCATAAACTGTTTGTTTTTTTTTTTTTTTAATAAAAAACAAAAAAATAAAAAGCACAATAAAACGTTTGCAATTCTGCGACACACAAACAGTCGAAATATTAATACTTTGGTCTTTTGAACATCAAAATATACTTCTAAATTATTTAAATATATATATTATACTTAATTAAATACATATACATACAATTAATTTTGAAACATTCAAAATGATTAAACTTATCGTTATAATGTAAATTTCAAAAGTGTAATATTTTGTTTTAAAATTGCTCAAGGCATACACAAAAAAAAAACCAATATAAAAATTTCTGTTAATAGATTTATAATTTCGGTGAGTTGTATTTTCTTTTCTATGATCAAATCTATTGCTATTAACTATTGATTTGTAAAAAATAAATAAATAACAATTATTTTATTTTTACAAAACATAATAGGTGCCAAATTAAAGGCAATGAAGAGATGTATTTAGATTTATCATTTATATGTTTGAAAGAGATCATTATCACACCCAAACCATCAAGGTCACCAACTACAGATACAACAGCTAACAGGTAAGCTTTATCACATAAAACTTAAAGATAATCAACCAGAATTTAAAATATACACATATCTACACAACATCAATCATATTCTTTAGTTTTATTTAAATCAAGCAAAGTTTAAACTTTTTTATTTTTTTTATTTTTTTTTATTACTATTATTATCTATCTACAGATAATTACCTTTGCTAACAAATTTTTTATTTTTATAAAATATAATAGGTGCCAAATTATAGATTATCTTTAGACGTATCCAACAGTATCATTTATATGTTTGAAAGAGATCATTATCACACCCAAACCATCAAGGTCACCAACTACAGATACAACAGCTAACAGGTAAGCTTTATCACATAAAACTTAAAGATAATCAACCAGAATTTAAAATATACACATATCTACACAACATCAATCATATTCTTTAGTTTTATTTAAATCAAGCAAAGTTTAAACTTTTTTATTTTTTTTATTTTTTTTTATTACTATTATTATCTATCTACAGATAATTACCTTTGCTAACAAATTTTTTATTTTTATAAAATATAATAGGTGCCAAATTATAGATTATCTTTAGACGTATCCAACAGTATCATTTATATGTTTGAAAGAGATCATTATCACACCCAAACCATCAAGGTCACCAACTACAGATACAACAGCTAACAGGTAAGCTTTATCACATAAAACTTAAAGATAATCAACCAGAATTGAAAATATACACATATCTACACAACATCAATCATATTCTTTAGTTTTATTTAAATCAAGCAAAGTTTAAACTTTTTTATTTTTTTTATTTTTTTTTATTACTATTATTATCTATCTACAGATAATTACCTTTGCTAACAAATTTTTTATTTTTATAAAATATAATAGGTGCCAAATTATAGATTATCTTTAGACGTATCCAACAGTATCATTTATATGTTTGAAAGAGATCATTATCACACCCAAACCATCAAGGTCACCAACTACAGATACAACAGCTAACAGGTAAGCTTTATCACATAAAACTTAAAGATAATCAACCAGAATTGAAAATATACACATATCTACACAACATCAATCATATTCTTTAGTTTTATTTAAATCAAGCAAAGTTTAAACTTTTTTATTTTTTTTATTTTTTTTTATTACTATTATTATCTATCTACAGATAATTACCTTTGCTAACAAATTTTTTATTTTTATAAAATATAATAGGTGCCAAATTATAGATTATCTTTAGACGTATCCAACAGTATCATTTATATGTTTGAAAGAGATCATTATCACACCCAAACCATCAAGGTCACCGACGATATGGTGAAAATAAATATTAAATCAAATCTTTAATAAATAGAATTTATTTATTTCTTTACAACAATTTCCGTGAATTTCTTGATTGGTTTAGTCGACAATAATACACTTGCATGTTGTGTGCTTTCGGGCGAAGCAAATAAAATAGTTTTCGATCGAATTAGACTTTTCATGGAAGATGTTGTTTGCTTAATACTGATAATTCTGCAATTTGATTGTTTGGCATCCTTTCTAGCTACATTACCGACACCCATGTGCGGCATCGGTAGGGGGACAAAGTCATCGACATTATGGCCCGGATAGACTGTTTCAAGAAGCTTAACAATGCAATCCAAAGGATGAATACTTTCGTTGGCTCTAATATTGAACTGATTATAGTATTGGGTAATAATAGTATTTTCGAGGATGTCGCTTGTACAAAATAGCCCAATGCGTCCACCAACCAACTCCTTTGTAAATAGCCGACCGCTTCCTAGGTCATCATAAATAAATCCCAATAGATCTCTTTCGAATGTTGCTGGATTAATTGTGGTAGAGTCTATCATAGTTCCATGCTGTTTCTTAATTTGGTCTGAAAGACTTTTCGATACAGGTTGACCAAATAATGTTGAGTTTTCCAAAATTTCTGTGCATGACAATACGCGATCTTTCGAGTGAAAAAGAAGATAGCAATCCAGATGGAGTGGGGTATATTTTACACTTTTCATTTCTTGCAAAATCTGACTGTATCTTTTGCCTTTATCCACAGCAACTGATTTTACGATGTGATCTACTGCGTCCTTATTCAGTTTTAGCTTGGTATTTGAAACGTATTTGGGTTGGAGCCAAGTTGGATATGGATTATTTTTATCGTTCATATCCTCATTTAGACAAACAAGATCTAAAATTGGTTTGTTATCGAATGATACATCTTCCCAAGTATGTATCATACATCCTTCTCCCTCTTTACTGATGTGTTCTTCTATCTCGTTCTCGTCTCCATTTGTTCCCATATCCAACTCCAAACCTTCACACGTTTCAATTGGTTTCTTATTCAATGGCTTAATCGGCGAGAGGTCAATATCGGACTGTTTTGTGTGATTTGTAGATGTGGGAGGAATGAATGATCTGAAATAGTACATAGATGGATCAGATATACGTCTATATCCACCCATTGAAATCAATGTTTCTGTGCCATTGGTTCCACATATATGAGAAAGTGATTCGTGATATGAGCATGGAGATATATCATGAAAAATAAATCCAGGAAACTGAAAATTACCACGAGCATTGCCTCTTACGAATGGATCAAGAGATCTGTCATAAAAAAACATTTCTTTGAACCAATCCATCTGTGGTTCATACTCCCCGTTCGTTTGAGTATTGAGATATTCCAATGCATCTTTAATTGTTTGCTTAATCTGCGCCATCTTGCCACCAAATGTTGAGCATAATGAGGTTGAGTTAGAGTCTTTCAGATTTCCACTTCGTGTACCTTGCTTGCTATATGTCTTGCTAAAAAGTTCCCAATCAATCATCGTAACAGTTGGTGCATTGTGGAGTACAAATGTATATACTTGAAGCTTATAGACAATTGAAAATACTTGAGTCGTGCGCCTCTTGAGATTGATTGTGAGATTCTGAGGATGTATGTCTTGATGTTCCATATCCAATACTTCAAATAAAGTGAGCTTCTGGTATAGTAGCAATAATATGATCTGCCTAAATGTTCCTGGGTGAAAGAACTCTCGTAGTACCCTTAAATCGGATGTGGGCGTCAATGTGTCTTTGAGGGTATATCCGGAGTCTGACGTTATTATAGAGGATCGATAGAATGTATCTATAAACTGGTCAAATTTGATCTTATCATTACTGTTATTAGCAGTGCACATAATATTTCCAATACTGTGTAGATAAGACAAATCTTGCCAGTCTATTTGTATCGGAAAAAAATAGTATAGTTTCCTATAAACCGCAAATAACTCCAATGACTGTAACTCGTTATTGAATTTGCTGTAATTTGTTTTTCCTTCTCCGTTCTGATCTGAACATAGTGAGCTGTTTGCTGATGCTGATATGTTTTGGTTATTTTGAAAGCTATTGACTCCTATATATTCTATTATTTGTTGAGTTATCTCCTGTGGTGGTTTGATATATATGTTGTTTTTGATGTATCCTGCACTCTTCAAAAGAAATAACACTTTGTTTGACTTTGATGATCTCTTTAGTCCTATGAGCTGGAGCATTCCTTCTTCTTTTATGTTAGTTGTTGATACCAATATCTCGCTGAAGCTATCTTCAGAAGGATCAATGATTTCTGTATTTTCATTATTGCTCGTTTCTTCTGTTTCTGTCTTTTTTCTTTTTGTTTTACTAGTACTATTGGGTTGATTTTTATCTTCTTGGCCGATGTCTGGCACCGTACTCTTATTCTTGTTTTTGGCTGCTCTTTTTGTCATATATATTGTACTGATAGGTGTGTCCCAAAAATAAAATAAAATTGAATTATGAATTATGGTCGAGTAAGTAATAAATCTAACCAAAAATTTTTTTTTGGAAAAAAAATGAGAGGAGACCCCTTTTTTCGAGGGGTGGCACCTAAAACCAGGTGCCAGCACCTGGTTTTAGGT